CGACATGCATGCCTTTTTCCTCTGCTCATCAGATAGTTCCTCCATCCCCACACCCAGCCACTGGATCTGATCTCGCCCCACCCTCCTACGTGTCCAGATGTTATCAGCCCAAGTGAGGAGCTGTTGAGCAACTCGACAAACCTGACACCTGATCTTGCCTGGTCTGTGGACAGTCCCCTCCTTCGGCTTCAGGCAGGGAAGGTGAGGACTGCTCAACGGGAAGCCCCAGATCTCGCGAGAGCCACCAGCCTCCTGGCTTTTCCCAGCTCCGTGGGGACTCTGCAGAGAGCCAGTCGGGGAGGAGGGCAGGGGGCACACACCTAGGAGTCTCGGGCTTCTAGAGCAGCGCTTCTCACTATGGGGTCTCTGGACCAGCAGCTTGTTGGAGTCGCAAATGCTCAAGCCCCACCCCAGATGTGCAAGATCAGAGACTCTAGGGCGGGGCCCTGCGGCCGGCTTTGAGTGAGCCTTCCAGGTGTTCTCACGCCCCTTCCAGCATGATGGATGGAGGGGGCCAAATTCTAGACCCTGGGAGGTTGGAAGGAATCAGGAACGCGGGCCAAGGCCACCCTCAGATGCCATCGGGATGAATGGTTTCTGATCTCACCCACTCCTAGGGAAGCCATGGGCTTTCTCTCCCTGCCGGGCTCACTCACCTTGACCTCCCAGGGGAGAGGCAGGCAGTAGGCACTGAGGGCTGCAACCATAGGCGGTCCTGGAGAACAGGAGTGCTTGGGCAAGGTTCCCTCCCAGCGGGCCACACCTGTCGAGTGACAGGGGGAAGAACATGTTACTTTGGGCCCTCCCCACCTCCAGAAGCATGGCACCCCTGCTCAACTCCGCTTCTCTGGGGACTGGGCTCAGCTCTGCCCACCTCTCCCTTGTTACTCCGTGTGGGGCAGGGGGGAAGGGAGGAGGATCCGGGCTTCACAGAAAATCGTCCCAGTCACACTCACGAGTGGTGGAACAGTGTGGGCCGGGCAAGGGGTGGGGGCGGCTGGAGGCGGCCAGATTCTAGACCCTGGGATGGTGGAAGGAATCAGGAACTCGGGCCAAGGCCGCCCTCAGATGCCAGGACTGGAGGGCGGGGCCGAGTGGAGACCCCCTGACCCTGCTCTTTGGCAGCATCCTGGTGGGGTTGCCGCCGACCGTCCCCGCTCACCCGGTCCCTGGGCTCCCCCAATACACTGTCCCGGGTCATCTCGAGGGCCAGACGCCCTCAGTACAGCAGGCGGAGTCCTGCCAGGAGCGGGGGGTGAGGCCCCGACGGAATCCCCAAGGTCTCCAGGGCCCTGGGCTCGCGAGAAGCGTCTTTTCGCCTTCCCCCAAGAGAGGGCGCACAACCCAGTGAACTGCGGGGCTCTGACCCCGCCCAGGACCCAGAGGGAGTGCGGTCGAGTACTGAGGTGGAGGGCGGGGACACGGAGCAAGGGGGCCGTCTCCGCGCTTCGAGCCCCGCCCTGACCGCCCCAGCGGCCGTCAGCTCTCGCTCCCCGCTTCAGTCCGCCCACCGGAAGCCATGGAGCACTGCCCTCCTGCCCACCTCTTCCGTCTGACTCTACCAATGACCATGCTCGACTCCTCAGAAGACCCGCCCTCCAGTGCCAAACCATCCCGTCCCTCTTTGTGACGGGCACCTCTGTGGCCCAGTCAAAGCAGGCCGATCTCGTGAGCTCCGCCCTCCGCTCAGCCTTCGGGCTCTTTCCTCAATCCCTAGGCGGGCGTGCTGTGGGCCCTTGGACTTCCCCGCGGAGAGATCCAGACTTTCCGTGCAGAGTCATGCGAGTGTACACGCCAAGCCCTGCTGTGTGCCTTTGGTGTGAGCTTGTATTCTGAAGGAGTTAAGTTCACGGGAAGTTACAGGGAAATGCCCCTCCCGTTGTTGCCCCAGCATCAGCGTGTTGTGTATCCAGTCGGACCTCACACTAGGAAATGGCATTCTGTGTGTGCGTGTGTGCGCGCACGCGCCAGTGGTTAGGACACCACACTCCCACTGCCAATGGCCTGGGTTCAATTCCTGAATGATGCTGCATACCTCGCCACACACACACACACACACACACACACACACACACACACACGTCAGTACATTAATGAAACCATAATCACACACTGCCCTTGAGATCCATCCATCTCAATCAATAGTTAGTTGGTATCAGCAGTCAGTTTTCCCTTTGTATTGCTAGGCTTCTTCCTTGGTGTGGATCAGCCACAGTTGTTCAAGCCTTCATTCACTGAAGGACATATTGCCAGTTTCCACTTTTAGATTTCTAGAAAAAATCTGCTTTGAACATTTGTATCCAGGCTTTCCTGTGGTCAGAAGTCTCCATTTCTTTGGCATGAATGCTTAGCAGTGCAAGTGCTGTGTCCTTAGGAAGTGGATGATTAGCCTTAGAAGAAACTGCCAATTTGCATTCCACTGTGGCTGGACCATTTTTCCTTACCACCCCAGATATTTTTAAAGCACGTAACTGAAGCTTTTTACAAAACATTGTTTTAGGCAATACTGTTAACAATTCTGTTTCTCACCTCTAACTATATTCTTCTATGGGATCACCTACATAGTTCTTCACTCAGGTTAAAAAAAACACACACCCTGTACATTCAGTGTGATTTTAACTAGCAATAATATATTTGCAAAAGTCTTCCTTGTCAGTGCACAAAACTCTAGCTCATGTCATCTCTGGCTACAAGGTATTGAACAGAACACATGTGCTATAGTTTACATAACAAATCCCCAACTGATGTAGTGTTACCTTTTCTGTTCTTCTTGTTTGTTTGTTAGCACCTCTGAAAATGTGTAAATCTCCCTCAGGATATTACCTTTAAGTGGAACTACCAGGTGAAAACCTATGGGCATTTACCGTGTTCACTGATACTAAGCAGTTGCCTCCCCAAAAGACCCTGATAGGCATATAGCAGGGCTTAGTTAGCCCTGTGTTCCACATGTTGCAGAGATTTTCTCTCAGTCTCTCTCTCTCTAAAGAGCTCAGCTTTTTATTGAATGTGTTATTAAAGTGAGTGAAGTTGCTCAGTCATGTCTCATTTTTTGTGACTCCATGGACTGTAGCCTACCAGGATCCTCCATCCATGGGATTTTCCAGGCAAGAGTACTGGAGAGGGTTGCCATTTCCTTCTCTAGGGGATCTTCCCAACCCATGGATTGAGCCTGGGTCTCCCACATTGTAGGCAGATGCTTTACCATCTGAGCCACCAGGGAAGTTACTACAGAGGTTTAGTCAAAAAGAGCAAAGCTCATCTCATCATCAGGGTCTTCATATTCTTTTTTCTTTGTTTCTACTTTCTTGTCCTCAGATTGGGCAGCAGTGGTGGAGGGGGCAGGACTTTCTGGTGGTGCAGCTCCTGCTGTCCGGACAGGTCCACCAGCCCCCACATGGCAGGTGAAGCTGCCGATGCTGACACTGGCCAAAGCCTTTACAAACAAGCCTGGCCAGAAACTGTCAACGTTTACACCAGCTGCTTAAATGAGGGCACTGATCTTATCCTCTGTGACCATCACCTCACTGGGCAGAATGAGGACCGAGTAGGTGCAAGGATGCTCCGAGACAGAGGCCATGGTGCGCGTGAGTGCTCGGTGGGGCTGCTGGCTCGGTGCCAGTCTCCAGATGAAGTGAGGGCCTCACCCCAAAATGGCCTTGGATTCTCGGAAGGACCGAGCACCTTAGTGGCCACGGAAGAAAGGGATCTCTCTCCTTTTTTGGCTGCACAGCATGGCATGCCAGATCTTAATTTCCAGACCAAGAATTGAACTGAACACACAGTGGAAGCATGGAGTCTTAACCACTGGACCACTGTGGAATTCCCATCTCTTGTCTCAAAAGACTAGGCCAGCCAGTTTTGGCTGTCAAGTAGTTACACAGTTTTATGTGACCAAATTATTAAACAGTGGATTGATGATTTCTGGGTTGTGTATCTTGGGCACAAAGTTGTCCTGCCTCAAGTGATGAGAGTCATGTGACACAGGGCAGACTTTCCGAGTTCCCACACCCAATGCTTCATGGACCCAGGCTGGCTGATTCTTGCTGTCCTGCAGGCCCCACTACTGTGTGTGTGTGGAGGGAGGGGTCATATGATCCCAGGCTAGGTAGGCCAGGACTGGGGCCAGTGCCTCTCAGACACCCAGCCCCTGCCCTCCTGGGATGCCAGCTCAGTTGGGGAAAAGACGAGGAAACGTATACTGAGAAGAGAGTATTATATTATTTAAATGCATAGGTGGCCCGCAGGTGAGCAAGCGAGATCCATGGGGAAAGCACAAATAAGAACCAAGAATCACCTAAAACCAGTGCTCTTGAATGGTCACCTGCAACGGTTAGAAGGAAGGACAAGGCTGTAAAAGAACTGGGTCCATCCCAGCATGGGTCTGAGTGAGCAGGAGAAGACCGGTCCCCATCATCTGCAAGCAGGGGCTTCCATCCCTCTGCCACAGACAGTGGGGTTTCAGCAAACCACTGGCTGAGGGAGGCTCCCCCCTGACCCTGGCACTGCAGTCATACTGCCGGGCTCCTGGCAGAGCACATGCTCCCAGAAGGGATGCCTCACCTCTGGCTTCCGACTCAGGACTCCCAGAGGGCCAGCTAAAGACTGGTCTGCGAACTCACGTTGAAGACACCACCCATCCTCATGGAACGCTGGCTGGTCCCTCAAAGAGAGGAGTGGCCCTGTTATGTCCCCAGGGCATCACTGTCAGAAGCCAGATGATATAATTTTCAGTAAGGGCTGGGAGTGTCTGCTACAGGCCTGGACTCACCCATCCCAGCCTTGCGGTGGCCCTAGGAAGTCAGTAGCATGTCAACCCCTTCTCCAGATGAGCAAATGAGGACATGGAAGGCTTGAACAGTTTGTTCTGAATCTCTAGCTAGCAGGAGGGAGGGGTGGTTAAGGACACTGGCCTCTAAGCCTGACCTCCTTTTGCAGGCTGTGAAGTGACATGAAGTCTCTCAGTCGTGTCCGACTCTTTGCGACCCCATGGACTGTACAGTTCATGGAATTCTGCAGGCCAGAATACTGGAGTGGGTAGCTCTTCCCTTCTCTTGGGGATCTTCCCAACCCAGGGATCGAACCCAGGTCTCCCGCATTGCAGGTGGATTCTTTACCAGCTGAGTCACCAGGGAAGCCCAAGAATACTGGAGTCGGTAGCCTATCCCTTTTCCAGCGGATCTTCCTGACCCAGGAATCAAACCGAGGTCTCCTGCATTGCAGGCAGATTCTTTACCAACTGAGCTCTCAGGGAAGCCCTTTTCCAGGCTATGCTCTCCATTTGGCTTCCAAGGAGGTTCCTGGGGCATCATATCGCACATCAGCTTGTCCTGAAGGCATCGGAGGTGAGTCCCAGTGAATATCCCCGGGCCTTGGACCAGTCTATAAAGGAAGGAGGTAAGAAAGAGAAACACCTGTACTCTTGTGCCTAATCAGGGGGGACTTTGAAATAGACAGTACCTTTGAATTCTCATGAGATCAGAGAGCAGTTCTCATGGATATTTACCAGTTGTCTGCATTCCTGTGAATGAAGCCTACTGCAACTCCTCAAATCTTCACTAGCTTCTGAGACACACCAAAAGAGACATACATGGTGGGAGGTGGGAGGGAGGTTCAAGAGGGAGGGGGACACATGTATACCTATGGCTGATCAATGTTGATGTATGACAGAAACCAACGCAGTATTGTAAAGCAGTTATCCTCCAATTAAAAATAAAAAAGTAGATACACAAGAAGGAATCAAAAAGGTAAGACAAATTTTTAAAGTCCAGGCGGATTTTAAAATGAAAAAAGAACTTTAGATGTTAGACACAAAACCAGTCTTTGAAATAAAAATCTGAGCTGATGAAGCAAACCACATGTAGATGACTCAGAAGATGACAAGGCAGTGACCTTTAGGAGAGATGGGCCGGTCTTTGTGGCCCCTCATCCTGGCTTCCGGGCTTCTGATGACATCAACCCCTTCCCTCCTTTTCTGGGTCTGGGGTGACAGCTGCTTCCTGTACTCACTGTGTGCCTTCAGCCCTCCGAGCCATCCCTGAGTGACCACCTGGGCTCGAGGCATCCGTGACCTGCGGGGGTCTCAGCAGTCACCATGCTGCCCCCTGCACTCGAATGGGGTGAAGGGCCAAGGACAGCAAGTGCCCGAGGAGCCAGAGCAGCTGCTACCCTGAACTGTCATGGAGGGAATGCCAGGGACTAAAGCTGGGCTGTGCAGTCACTGCAGTGTCCCTGGGAGGAAATTGACAAGGACACCTGCCTTACCTCTCAGCTCAAGTCACAGGATGACAGCCACAGCTCTTCCATGGCAGCCTGCAAATTCCCCTGTGCCTGTTGGGCTGACGGGACTGGAAATCAAACACAGCATTCCACCGTGTCAGTTGCAGAATCCCCAGGTCGCTTGAATTCCCAGCCTCTCTGCATTTCCTAGGTAAAAGGCAGGGCACTGCCTGGCCGAGTGGGGCCTTGAAACTGAGACTCGGGATATCTGGTTGCCCTCAGTGGAAGCTGACAATGGACAAGCCCCCAGTCCCCCAGAGCCTCCCTTGCGGACGGAAGTAGCTTGCCCAGCTGTGTCTGGAAGGCTGGTGTTCTGTCCTTTGAGGACTGTGTCATTACCTCACCTGGTGCTGATCCCTTTCAAGGGGACACAGACTGTCCTCCAGACCCTCTGCCACCACGTCCTGTTGCCACGAGACCCATAGTGAAGTGAGTGAAGTCAAAGTCACTCAGTCGTGTCCGACTCTTTGCGACCCCATGGACTATACAGTCCATGGAATTCTCCAGGACAGAATATTGGAGTGGGTAGCCTTTCCCTTCTCCCCGGATCTTCCCAGCCCAGGGATGGAACCCAGGTCTCCCACATTGCAGGTGGATTCTTTACCAGCTGAGCCACAAGGGAAGCCCTTTAGACCCCTAAGTGGGTCCAATTACTGCATGATCCAGAGCACAGGGATACAGTATGGGTGGGGACATCTCTCATCTCTGCCCCTCTCCCCTACACTCCTCCCTTCCTGCTTGAGTGGCCTGCAAGTTTTCTGTTTGTTCTTCTCAGTAAGCAGGGAACCCCATGGGGACCATTTCAGGATTACTGAGTGTCAGGCACCCCGTTTCTCATCCTGTGCATGGCCCAGCAAGGTATTGCGCCACAGTAGGGGGATAGAATGTACCTGTCTTCCTCTCTGGTGGCTGGTAAAGCTGTCCCTGGGAGGCATATCTGTAGGTGGGCATGCTCCGACTGGAGGACTCCACTCCCAGACCCCAACTCTCCACGTGGCATCACTTTCTCTGTCCTTTTATGTCCCGGAGGGCTTGTGCTGCACACCGTTGCCACCAGCATTTCCTGCGCCTTCACGCATATCCGCCACCACGCCCCCGCCCCGTCCTTCCACCCCTACCTCAACCACCTCAGCTTTCTCTTCTCTCGGGCCATATTTCTTGCTCTCTGCTGGCCGTCAGCCCTAGGTTGGGAGCACTGCCCTTATTCGGCTTGTTTATGGGGACCCAGGCCGCCGCGGGCCTCTCTCTGCTTCGGGTGCTGAGGCTGCAGCCTCAGTCCGTCAGTCTCCCCTTTCAGGGCGGCCCCACCCCCTGGGGCGGTGCAGGTGACGCTGATTGGCTAAGGCTCAGTGAGTGACCGGACAAAACCCAATGACGTGGCCCGGGCCGCGCGGATTGGCCAGCCCCGGGCAGGCGGGCGCAAGGTGTGTGGAGAGCCGGCGGGGCGGGTGGGGTGCAGGCCTTCGCCAGGCAGTGGCCAAATGGTGGGTAGGTACAGGCGGGTCGGAGGTGGGGGTTACGAGCTGCCAAGGCTGTCGAGGAGAGGGTTGGCCAGAGTGGGAGAAGGCGGGGCCCATTCCCTGCCGAGCCCTGGGCGATCCCAGTGAGGCTGGAAAGTGGCTGTGGTGTGCGTGCGTGCGTACGGAGTGCGGAGGCCACTGCTGTGGAGTACGAATGCGCCACAAGCTAGGGTAGACCTCAGTGGGGACGTTTATATGACATTTTTAAAATCCTGGCCACAGCCCTATGGGAGAAGCTGTCTCCATCCTCAGCACTGTCACCCCCTTTGACAAATGAAGCAGGCCAAAACGGGTGACAGTTCACCTTTACATACATGAGTAGGCGACCTGCAGATTAGAATCATGAGGCAGGGTCACCAGAGTCTGTGGCTCCAGAACAATCAAGGGACATTCAGACATTAAGTGCCTAGACCAGTTGACAGCATTCCTGTACCCTATCACCTCGGCTACTCTGCACCCTGGAGGTATAGCTGGGCCACTCTCATCCCTACATGATCATCTCTCCTCCCAGCCCCTATTCCTAAGATCAGCTCTTCTGTTCTCGCCCAACACCTGCGGGGGCCTGAAAGTCTTTTGGAATGGAGTTTTTACCATGGATTGTATTTGGAACTCCATTTAGGCTTCAACAGTGCACTGCTGCACAGTATATGTTGTGGATATCCCCAAATCAGGCATTATACATCTCAATACAAGCTAGTGTGGTGCATGGTCACACATCCTGGCTTATCTGTGTTCACAATGGCTTTACCTTAGAGTGCTTTATAGATGTCATGGTACCATTATGGTCATTGTTTCATTCACCCCTCATCAATCTGCTTTAACCACACACACACACTCAAAAGAGTAAACAGAACTATCACATGACCTGGCAACTCCTAGCTTTATATACACCAATGTAAGTAAAACTATAATCCACAAACTTCAAAATGAATGTTCGTAGCATTATCCACAATAGACAAAAAAAGTCTATTTGCTTGTAAAAAATCCAGATTTCTACAAACTGATGGACAAAACAGTCTATACATAAGATGGACTATTATATGGCCATAAAAAAGAATGAAATTCTGTAACATGCTCTAATGTAGATGAACCTGGAATACATTATGCTAAGAAGATAGGAGACAAAAAGGTCACATACTGTATGATGCCCTTCATACAAAATGTCCAGAATATGTTAAATCCCTAGAAACAGGAAACACATGAGTGGTTACCAGGGGCTGGGACAGTGAATGGGGATGGACTACTCAGGGGTGCAGTTCTCTCTGGAGTGATACAAATGTCCTAAAGTGAACCACAGTGATGGTTACAGAACTCTCTGAGTATGCTAAGTACCACTAAATTGTATTCTTTCAATGGGTGAACTGCATGGAATGTGAGATGTCCAGTTAAGTGAGGTAAAATTTTGACTATTTGCATTTTATCAATTTTCTGTATGACCCTGTAATCAACTGTTATTTTTATAGAAAAATGTCAACTACTTACTATTTACTTAGCTGCACCAAGACTTACTTGCAGCATTGCAGCATGTGGGCTCTAGCTCCCCAACCAGGGATTTAACTGAGGCCTTCTGCATTGGGAGTGCAGTCTTAGTCACTGGACCATCAGGGAAGTCCCTGGTATTTTTAGTATTTTTGTATTTTGATAAATTTGATATATTTTCTATCAATTATATCAACTATTTTTAAAATTTTTGAAGTCTTATGAAATAAACATACTAATTATGCTAATTTTACAGGCCAGGGAACCAGTTTAGTGATTTAAAAAGCCAGGAACAGAAAGACTAAGCCCTGAAGACGACTCAGTGGCAGACTGGTTCTTCCATCTCTAGCACACATTCTAGAACAAAAACCCCTTGATGACCAGTTAGTGAGAATGATAGAAATAAGGACCACGACATACCAGATACATCCAGTCAACTTTAGTTTTGAAGCTCTGGTCTATCTCTCATTTCTCTGGCAGGTATTCTCTTGTATTCCAACCACATGGTTTAAATGCTCTGACCTAAAATAAGGAGTTGGCTCAGGGCTGGCTTTTCAGGCTGCATACTGTCCTCTAGCGGTCTACCTCCTGCCCACTACCCTTTCCAGGGCTTGATGGGGACATGGATCACTCTCCTGGTTTAAAGAACAGCTTCTTCCTTATTTAGGATCTTATCAAGGGGAAACCAAATCACACATATAAGGCACAAACAGAGCGAAACAGCTAGCCGATTCTTCATTGCTTTATTAACATCAACTTTAGTATCGTCAGTAGATGAGTACAACTGAGCTAACAGTTTGGTTTGGTCACTGGGTAAATAGACATTCCTGAGATCTCACCAGAGAGCACAGTGTGGAGGTCAGACCTAGTCGTGTCCTCTCTTCACAGAACAGTCAATTCAAACAGCACAGGACATCCTAAGAACTTTCACTGCTGCTCCACAGCCTCTGCACGGGAGAGGAGGGATGAAGGCAAACACCAGAGGAAATTCCACACCAACTGCAGTCACACAGTACCTGGAAAGCTACAGGTAGGATAGCAGC